AAGGGGCCAATTTTTTATACCCCTTTCTAGAACTCGCCCTAAAACTGTTACCCCGTTCTAGAGATGGGCCAATTTTTATACTCCGTTCTAAGATGCAACAAGAGTACAACAGTTTGCTTGTTAACGCATTGAACCGTATTTTTAAAAGCAATCTGTCCTTGAATAATTTCAAATGGCTGCTTACCAAACTGGAGCTTTCGTGCGTTCGAATAATTATACCCCCTTCTAGAAAACGCCTCTGAAATGGATACCCCGTTCTAAATCAGGAGCTTCAAAATCACGACCCCGTTGGGCGGCACATACCCGTATAGGTAATGTATGGGAGTACCTTCCCCGGGCTTTTGATAGCCTGCGAACACAGAGAAGCGACGACCGGAAGTACGTCTCTGTTCGCAGGCTAGATAGGTAGCCGGGGCTAGGTAACACTATACCGCAAACCTTTTGGGTCCAAAGGGAAAAGTATCCCTTACATGCAATACGTATCAACGGCAACGATACAGAACTGGAATAAATACTTCACATACACATCGACCATCGTATCCGAGCGGTTGGCCGATATGGTTTGGTGTATTATTGAAATCCCAAGCTTCACTTCCGAATATTTACTTCCGTCTCAGTGGGTTCCAGTCCTCGCTCCTACTTATTAACTTCCGCTTCGGTCCGAATGCGACTAAGAATGGGAGAAACCTGCCTGATATGTCACGGTCCCTTTCAAGGTCGGTGCAGCACAGCTTCGTTCCGTTACAGAAATCACACCGAAATCACCGTTCTTATGTGTGAACTGAAGCGCCCTATCCGGTACTGTTTCCGTGTCGGCACCGAGCGGTTATCCAATATCGTGTGAACAGAGCTTCAATGAACACTGTATACGATGTCGACAGTAATTCATTCGGGTCTCAGTAAAAAAAAAAACGTAATCAATATCCGTTAAGCCAGCTTTTAAAGCAAGCCAAGAAAACAGAAACTGGTCTACAAATGACAAAGGCATAAAAAAGTGATTGGTTATAGGTATGCACCGGCATTAACTGCTTGTCAGTACAGCGGGTTGCGATAGAAAAATATGAGCGAGCAATAGGCCAGTAAAGTGGTTTATAAATGACGAGTAGCACGACCATCTTCTGTCGATATTTTTTATGTTTTCGTTTCCTTTGAGGAAAGATTGAAGTAATATTAACGAGTTTACCTCGAACCGTCAAATGACCAAAATTTGATCGTCAACAGTCAAAAACCAAATTTTTATCTGTCCCAACGTCCATAGAAGTGCCTGTTCCAGTTTAGTTCAGGTCTTGGTCAACACCTAAAAGGCGCTTGGCCTAACGTGCGTACGGAGTCCAAGTACCCGGGATATAAAAAACGCAACCATAAGTGATTTTAGCACCTTCCTTAAAATTAACAAATCTATAGGGAACAATTTCTTTTACGGTTATCTCTTTTTTACCCTATTTACGGCTAACGGTTGAAATTTTTCAATTTTTACGGCTATCGACTAAATTTTATGGCCGTTTTACGCCTACTGGTTAACCCCATTGAGACCCTCATAAAACTATTGATAATAGTTCACTTTACAATGCACTATTAATTTTAATGTCAATAATTTTATAACAATACTAAAACCATAAACTGGTGTCGTCACGGCGTGAAGTCTTAATTAGAATAACACTACTACAAGTTAAGACATAAATTGAAACAAAAAAATCGCACATTATAATGCTTAGAATGGCACTACTCGACTGTGCGATCAATGGAAAATGTTGCAGCGTTGACGGAGGACGGGATATCTTCCCTCTTTTTTCGTCCCCACCCCTGGGGATTTGACAGATCAATAGTCCCCACCCCCGGGAATTTGCCATCCAAGGCGAAAAGAAAAACATGACGGATAAAGTCAGGCGGATTGTTCATTCAAAATTAAAATCACTTCATTTTCAAATTAAGACGTATTACCTATCTGACTCGAATTACCAAACCAGGGGCGGATCCAGGGGGAGGGTGCAGGGGGTGCGCACCCCCCCCCCCGCCTGGGATGACCTGCGGCCGCTTTCTAATTAATACTGTGCAGTCGCTTGACAGACAGACAAAATCTGCTCTATCGTTTGATATGTATTCTCAGCGGTTCACATTATGTTATTTCCTAGTCAAAAGCCCTCTTCTTCGTATTCGCTTTTAAAATTTTTTACGTCATCGGTCAGTTAGTGGTGCACCCCCTCCTAAGAAAAATCCTGGATCCGCCCCTGCGAATGGACAACCCTTCTCACACGAATAATCCGTCTCTAGTGTGAAAACGGCCATTTCTGTTATAAATGAATGTCGGTCCCCAGCCTTGAGTCAGTGGGCGTTCGCGTGTCTGCTTTTGCTTTTTCACGAAGACTATTTTCAAATTGACTATTGACATTTCTATGCGGAAAATAATATTAGAAGTGGAATACTTTATAGAAAGTATGATCAATCAAATGTTAAATTTTTTTCAAAGGATAGCTTATTTCATCCCGAGATGATTATAAGACCTTTATTTTGCTTGAAAGATACAAAAACTACACTTTAATATTTAACGCTTTGAAACAAAAGAAATTAATTATTAACTTTTTTGTTAACCGTAAAAATTAACCGATAGCCGTAAAAGAGCCAAAATTTTAGCCGATAACCGTAAAAGCCACAACCTGCAAATGCCCCACCCCCGGGACTGACAAGGCGGGCAAATGCCCCGTAGTAGCCCGGGGGGGGGGGGAGGCTAGGCGCAGCTGCAATTGACTGATGCATTACTCTGCAATAAATTTTTGCGGGAAAAATGTTTGACGAAATTTTTATTGGCAACTTGATTTGCCGCGGGTGAATGGAAAAATCGCAAAAATTAGAACCCGCAAAAATTTCGTGCCACACGGTAATTTGCAATTTTGTCTGAGTTTTGTCATTTTTGTCATTTTAATGACAAAAGACAGAAAAACGTGACATTTTAATGACAAAAGTGAGGAATTCGCCAATGTTAATTTCAGTTTCTTTGTCCGAGTTTCGAGTCTTTTAATAGTTGCGTGCGCGCAGCGCTATAAAAACTTCTAAAATAGATTTATGTATTTACATAGATTTATTTTATGTATGTAAATAGTTTTTTCCTATTTTTATGTTATGCCTAAAAAGCACCCACGACGGATAAGGAAAGAGAATCTTTCTCAGCAAATTACAAGAAATTCTCTCGAAAGCTCGCGCTATTAATGCCGTATTATTACGTCATTTTTGAATTCACCAAAAAATTATTTACACCTACTTTTGCTTTCTGCTTAAAATGGGCCAGACTTTGTCTTGTACAAGTTGTAAATTCCGAAGCGCAAAAATCGCTCCACTGCGTACTTTACCCAGTGCGATGAAACGATCCAATCCCTCGATTGTGGGACAAAAAACTTTCAGCTTTCATAGACCATCGCACTCATCGCCGGAGTGGCTTTCAGTGGAACTCTCCAATTGTTCTTCTTTAGCTACCATTTCGTTGGGGTCAGTTAAGACGCTTTCTTCGAAACTGAAAGGCGAGATCACAAATAATGAATTAACACAAGAAGAAAACAAGGAAAGTTCTCCTTCCAGTAAGAAACATCCAGGTAGGTTTTAAACATAAAGGGGAGAAAAGCTTTCGTTCTTTTAAGTTCAAGATCAAGTTCATTTATTCACACTTATTCAATTACAATACAACAACAACAAAAAAAAAGAAAGAAGAAGTAAAAACAGAGCTACCTATACATTGAATTAAACATAACAAAGGGAAAAAGTGCGTAGCAGCCAAAGGAGCCAAGCTTTCGAGTTGGCTACTACCACAGAGTGCCGGGTTACAAGTGGGAGGAGGTTATACAATACTTATAAAAAACGCCTTCGTTGTGTTGTTTTAAGTCCTAGATCGTCGATATCACAGTGTCATGTTTCTTTGAGATAAAATTTTGGGACTTTTAAATTTCGTCGAATCTTTTTTTGAGGTCGAGAAGACTAGCGAGTCGATTTCCTGGCGGATTTCCTTTCCGATATTGGGAAGAAATTCTTTTGCGCACAGCTCTTTCAAACTTTCTACAGTTAATGTCATTCTCTGGGTTACCCGGCTGCGAGCAGAGGCTACATTTTCACTGTGTGAGCTGGCGGGCGAAAAGTAGCTATAGCCTCTGCCGACAACCGTTCAATTTTCTATCGTACATGCGCAAGCAAAATTAATCGTCAGGTCTGTCGTCCAATGGCACGAGTTTCGCGGAAATAAAAAAATTGCGACAGCTCTGATCTGCTACGCAAGACTCACGCAAGATTCACGCAATGTTCTAAACTGGTCAAGAACAGGAAAAAAAAACGTCTATTTAACTTATTCGTCCTGATTTCTGGACGGATTTGAACGGTTAATTGTCGACAGAGGCTACTTTTCGCATGCCAGCTCACACAGCGAAAATGTAGCCACTGCTCGCAGGGTTGATCTGGGTTAAATTCTGTACAGTTAAACTCTTAAATTCTGTAAGGTTTAACTCCACGCGTTAAACTCTCCACCCACCATCTTCGCGTTCGTTTATTCATTCATTCGTCCATCATCCATCCATCCATCCATCCATCCATTCATCCATTTATCCATTCATTCATTATACGGCTACACAGTAATTTATACACTAATCTACATAGAGTCCATAGAATAAACGAAATGAATGGATGATCGCATGCAACAAGATAGTTGCATACTCGCGGACACGATTTTCGCAACAGTTTTTTCTTTCTTTCCTTCAGTTTTGACTGTTTCATTAGCCCTTTCTTATTAGGTATGCAGTTGTGTTTTTTCTTTGTCATTTACATTGTTTCTTTATTTGACATGCCTCAATTGTTCACCTACAAACACCTTAAAACATGCAAACACGAGTATTCTACGAACAGGTTGGCCCCAGGGCTCAAAATTGCTTTTCTGTCACATAGGTCTTCTTACTCCTGAACCGGATGAGGATCTTTTGAACTCTACGTTATTACCGGACGAGGCAGCTCACGAATTCAGCTCTTCAATGCCCGATCAATTGATTGATGGAAGACAGTCACGTGTCGGGGCACTCACTGGCAGGAGTGTACCTCGTGTCTCGACCCCGAGACCATGGGAATCCGGACTAATAATGGTGAAACCTTACTTAGGTAATACAAAGCGCTCCGGCTTCACCGTATACTGTAGATACACTGTAGATAAATGGGTTACTCCAAAAGATTTCGTACTATATATATGGGTAAATTTACGAGCGGGCAAGATGAAGCGAATCCGTGTTCTATCGGTGACGGCGAGCGAGTACTGACGACCCATCTTGCCCTCGCGGGATTTCCCACTTTAGTCCCGCAAAAGAGGCCTCTTTTTGGCCACATCAGTATCAAATCCTTTGTTAACTAAGTTCGTTCGGTCAATACGGCTGGATATTGGCCTTAATCTCTTTTTGCGTGCCTATTGACCTTAGTCAATAACCAACCATTTGACCTCACGCTTGACACGCTTGGTTAAAAATGCAAATCCTCAACTTCGTTCCCAGTGTTCTCTCCTACTCGTCCCTCTCTCTCGCTCCGTACGGACGAGTTGGCCGCACCCAAACAGAGCAATTGACTGCGCCTCACAGAAAACCCGATTCCAAAGCTTACACATAAACCCGGAGAAATACTTAAGTGTGCACCTAGCTACTCAGAAGTTAACTAACATACACTTTTCCTGTACACTCAGCATCGCAAATAATACCAATCACAGGAAGGTACTGTTCATTCGCTACTTTAGATCAATAGAAACGAAAGGGGAACTGGAGCCGAAATTCGTCCCGAAATTGTTTCTGGGATCGCTACCGGACAGCTGTTAGGTAATGTTTTCCCAGAAGTCTTTGCGTAAGTTGGCTCCAACCAGATTCCTTTTTGTTTCTAAAGCGGCGAATTGAATGGCCACACTTTAGGATCCGATTTCATTCACAGACTCTTAAGAACCACCTTGTACAGCAAAGAGCCATCTTGGCCTATAATTCTTTGACATATTTTATTTCAGTTGCAGATAATGACATTCAAGAAGAACCTGAGCTTGTCTGCAAACATGGAATACCCTTAAACGGAGCGATCGGAGATTCCCACAAAGTGAATTGCGTGAAATGTGAAAGACCATTTTCCAGAGGAGGACGGGCATTAGCGGGGATGCTCGCTTTTCGACGAGCTGAAACAAAACGACGAAAGAGTAAGAGGATTTTAAACACGACAAGGCTTTCTGAAGAGCAAGAGAAACGGAAAAGAATGGAGGGGGAATATGATAACGCTCTTCGCCGATTTGCTGAAAAGCATCCAAGCAATTGAGACATTTTCAAGCATTTGTGAGCTAGAGTGAGGCTGGAACGATGAAGATACCAGTTCTCTTGTCTGGCGGGTCTAGAGCCAACAGAGAAAGTGCAAAAGCCACAAAGCACAGATTACCCACTGTTATTGGGTGGGAATTGGGTGTGGTATTGTGAGGGTCACAGGTGTAACAGTATCACGAATCAACCGTGTGTTGGCGCGCTTTAGAGCCAACAGGGAAGGTGCAAAAGCCACACAGCACAGATTACCCACTGTTATTTGGCAGGAATAGTTAGGTGTGGTGGTGTAGGTTACAGGTTTACCAGTATCACGAATCTAACGCGTCTTAGCCTTAAAGGGTGATTGCTGACGAGAGGATAACAAGACAAATGCAAACGCTGCAGAGTACCGATCTCATGTTGCAATTGGCTTTTTGCTGGCGGCCGGTAGTAATGTAAGGGTTTACCACTCTTTCTTAATTTACGCGCCAGATCTAGAGACACAAAACCGTCAAAACAGCACAGATTCGATTTCTTGTAAGGGTATTGGCCTTGTCAGGTTGCTGGTGAGACTGGGTACTACGAGACTGTTTGGGGAGGCTGGCGCTTCTTTTATTGGCTAAAACGAGTATTAACATCAAAACAATCCCATAGTGCAATTCAACAAATCACCACCCGCGCCCCAGTCCCAGGCACAACCTCACAAATGTCCATAGGCTGGTGGCCTGTGGTGATGCAAAGATCACAGGACCAATTAACGCGCCCTTAATGACGTACAGCTGATTGTTTACTAAGACATAGGCAACGTTTTTATAAAGGTTAAGAATCTTTAATTGAACAACGAAGGATATGTACATCAAATAGTGATTATTAATAGTAAGTAAGGATTCTGGACACTCAGTCTGTAAACGAGTATAAATAAGAATTGTTAGTTTCTATTTTACTTAATATTTTCAAGGCCTTATTAGCATATATGTATATAATTGCTATTTTTAATAAGGGTGTGCAATATACGCGATAAAAAAATGTACAGAGAACGCTTAGAGAGTTGAAATATAAAACATTTTCTATTTTCATTATTTTCAATTTTGGGCAAGTGTGCTTCATTCAGGCGGCCCTTATGTTATTGAAAACCTTTTCCTGCCTCGTCGTCGGAGGCGGACTTAGGCATAGAGTGTAAGCACCAAAAAGTTCATGGCCGAGAGTAAAATCTCGAAAAATTCGTGGAAAAGAGACTTAAATAGCTGAATTTTGGAATTACTCGCCCTAGTCCCTCCCCTATGAGGTTTCTCCACACTGTCATGTCTGTCCACGAGACCTTGAGAACCAAGCTTCGTTTAATGAACAGGGGACTAATAATTTTAATTCTTAAAAGAACTTGCTATGGTGGTGCGATGGAAAAAGGACTATAGTTTTTTTTTAAAATCAGAGCTTACATTTCCAGAGATATGCTGCTGTCGCACAAAATTCACAGTCATAATCAAAGGCATGATAAAAATAAAAAAAAAACAAAAAAAAAAACGGAGCTACATTTCCAGAGTTATGCTGCTTTCGCACAAAGTTCAAAGTCATAATCAAAGCATGATAAAACTGGCTCCCCCGTTAAGATTAGAAGCCATCAGAGTACCACGAGCGCACCATCGGTTGTGAGAGGCCACGATTGGAAATCATAACATCTGCGAATAAATTTACCTCAGTCACTTTTAACTTTCTTACTTCTAAGATTCCATGCTTCTGACGAGCCATATACTTAACATAAGAGGAAGCAATATCAGTTTCCTTTTTGACGCAACGTCAAACGAGCCACTTCTTTGTCCAATTGTATCTTTGTTTTCGAGTTCAAAAGTTTCAGTTGCGTTTTTGCAAGTCTCTTGTTTCTTATTGCATTCGTCGCCAGAGCAACAGTGGACGTAAACTTTCCTTGTTCCAGAACCCGCCACTTTCACTTCCCTACATCCGTCGTTGCATGAGTAGCCGCGCAACGAGTTGTCACTTGAACAGCCAAGCATTATTGGTACAACGCTAAAATGTAGACAAAACAAGCAGAATTATTTGTGAGCTACCTATATTCTAGGCCCCTGAAGAAGGCTGAAGAAAAAACTAGGGTTTTTTTTTTTACAAGGGAAAGTCCAAAAACGGATTTTGTGCCTCTTCTGAGCTTTTAATTCAAAAGAATCCATACTAGGAATGGATTCATTAGAGAACATAAATCCGGGTGTTTAGGATTTATGAACCATCAACCTTATTCCAACGGTGCTTTCCCTGGCTTGGCGGGCGGTTGAGGCTGCCGTCATGTTTAGTTGCCTGTTCACCCCAATGTTGGTTGAACGAAATAAAAGAACCTGAGATCAAGAGACTAATCTTGGATCCTCCCAATTAAAAATAAAAGCGCATCCAAAATAATCGACGCACATTTTAAGCGCTAGGCGTCTTATTTTACGGTGCGGACTTGTGTCACCAGCTCTGCCGTTTCTTCCGCGCGCCATTGCGGGGTGGGGTGGGGGTGGGGGTGGGGGGGAGGCATTCAAGGGACATTTTGGGTTAAGGTGTGCTGCAGAGGCTTTAAAATCTGACCCTGTTTGATATAGAACTTTAAAAAAGTTGGTATCACAATTGTAGACCGCCCATCGCCAACCTTCACCAAAAGACACCCTCTTCAATACACTAAACCTATGCCATACCCTGTTCAGCGGGACATACCCTTGTAGGCAACATAAGGGAGTGCCTCCATAGGGATCGATTACCGGGCTTTGGTTACTTTTACGAGACCGTCGCTTTTTAGAGGAAAAAAGTTAACTTAATGAAAGAGCAAAACTACCAGTTGACGGGACAACATGACGAATGTATACGCTAAATGTAGAATGTAGAACGAGGAAAAAAAAATACTTCGTAGTTATTTTCTGTGTCATTCTCACTTGAATCTACGGTAAATTGGCTGAAATCCAAATAACAACTAAGAAATGCTCCGACTGCGATATTCATAATTCGTGGCTAAAAGATGCATCCAGAAATGACCAGTATTTCGACATTTTTCGTTCTTTTTGGTTGAACATACGATATTATTTTTCCGTTGCATTACTGAATCGTCATTTTGCTCCCGCACTTATTTGTTTCTCCCTACAGAACGACGGTCCCATAAAAGTAACGAAAGCCGATTATCGCCTAGTGTGGTGCCCACTTTTACGTTTTGCTTCAAGCATCCTAGTCATAAGACCTCATGTAATTATAAGGAAGGAACAGCTGACTTTGTCAGAGGCTCGTTGCCATAGTAGTTAATTGTCCTAATACGCAGTTTAATAAATTTGATAAGATTCGCTGCTGTAACAATCTGCAAAAAATTGCCTGCTATACCATTTTGCAAAACTTACCTCGAGTTTGCTCCTACGGTATTATTCTTTTTTTCGAGAGTGACGGCGAGGCATCTATCGCCAGGAGGACATTGTCTGGTTGTCATTTTATCATTAAGGCATCCTCGCCCTTTACATTGCAAGCACCGAGGACCATTTTCAATTGCGGCCAGCTGGAGATATCTTTCTCGTGTCCATATACAGCAATCCGTCCCAGGATGCAAGCGGCCACCTGAGGATGAGTTAGTTACCAGTTTTCGAACATGTCCAACTTCCAGACACACCTGCTCGCAAGAGTACAGTTTGGTCTCTTCGGCTCCTTTTGCGTCCAAAATGGTTTCTTTTAATGCCGAGAAACAAACTTCTCGTCCGTGGAACTTTGCCTTGAGGTTTTTTGCCAATACGTATATTTGTCCATCGTTTGATATTTTGTGATGTACGACTGTTAGAAGAAGCGGTTTTTCTCGTTGGAAGTTAACTGACGCTCCCTTGAAGTGTTGAATGCGTATCGTGACAGAATTTGCGCTACCGGTTAAACCGTCACGCGGATTGCATGACGCCTGAGGAGCCAGTGGTTTACAGTTTGCCAGATGAAGACAGTACCAAAAAACAAGGAGATAAATAGAGACTGGTCGATGTACAAGTCTGAGATTCATTTTTAACCTCTCTGTTGAACGTCGTTCCATCTGATTTCTGCTCAAGGAAATTCGATTGCGAGTATTTATGGTTTCCGAGCCGAAGGATCCGCCTTTACTTAGCCAATCAAGTGACACAGGCGTGATATGCTACACTCACTTCCGATTATTGTTTACGTGGAGTGTCGCCTACCGTTTATGATAACACAAACGACACTACGCCATATAAGTCCAGTATTAAGTCCCGACAAAGATCATATGAGGGTTAAGATTTTCATAGGTTGATGGTCAAGTTGCGCAACTAATCGTACAAGCTGCTGACAGAAGTAAAATAAACAGGATTTTTTAAGTAAAAATAACTAGTGTCTCATTGGTAAAAATAAAAATGGTAGCAATGAATAGTATAGTGAATACGGTATCCCTGTTTGTAGTTGTAATAGTAACGATTTCCCCTTAGTACAACAATTCCTCGCAAAAACCGTGATATCCCATATTCCAAAAGCACGGCCCTAAACCATGTTAATTTTAATACCTGAATACATTAGATTTTTCAAGTCAAAGAAGATGGTTTCTCTGGCCGTGGTAACGTAACTTAAATTACGTTTAACAAAAAGCAAACAGCAGAAGCAAAAACTAAAGCCGACGGCGAAACAATAATGCTGCTTTTTTTTAACCTTATTTGTTCATATTGCGTGACTTCCGCTGATTATGTCAAATTTAAAGAACCACGTGAAATTCATGAAGCTGGTCACATGTCAGATTGCTTCACTAAAGCCACGAAAGTTAAACTAACCTTAACGGTTAATAAAATAATCCTGTTCAATATATGATTCATCAACACCTCAAGTTCTCAGCAACAGCAAAATATGGGGGTTTTAAGCTGGAAAAGAACCAAGCAATTTAAATACATAGTATATCGTTGTCAGTTGTGGTTTCCGTACAGTTTCATTCATTTTACGATTTGTTAATCCGCTAAGAGTACACTGAATACGTGCATAGGCACAATTCCTTCTTTCCAGTTCTTAAGAGATGGCAGTTCCCTTCAATGTAACGCCATCGAATTCTATTTCATTCGCATTTTTTTCCCTTCAAGAACACGTGCGAAACGAAAAACGTAGTATATATCTTTTCTCTCTCTCGTCCATTGCAATAAAAATACCATCCATCCTTTTTTAAAAAAGAAATAAAATTTTTCCTTGACAGGACGTTTTATACTTACTTCCCTATACATATCGTTTAGATTTATTCTCTTAAACCAGTATTGCCTTATGAAGCGGGAGCGAGACCTCTTTCGCTGTTCATTATGCTTCTTCAGTGTATCGTTTTCGCTATTAACGACTTCCATTCAGTTTGTTGAAAAATACCCTTCTCATCCCAGGGGCATAATCTTCAGTCTTGAAGAGCCTTTATTCAATAAACGGTAATTATATGAACATGTCTTAGAGGGCGCCATCTCCGGTACATTTTGACTACGTACGTTGAAGGCTTTTGTAAATCTTTTTTCCCTTTCCTTCCCTTTTATTATTATTTATTTCTAGGGTTTTGTTTTGTACTGAAATCTTCATATCCTGCATGCGATTTATTTACATCAGTGGAATAAATAGATTAGCATAGTAATCGGTAATACCTCATAACTGCGCGGAAACGCTTTTCTGTTGCGTTGTTGTTTCAAAAAAAATTGAAGATACAGTAATTAAAAGTCATAACACACAGTGCTGCATTTTAATGAAATAATGTTGGATATAGTGTCATATGAAGGCTTGTTTTGTTACAGGCAAGAGCATGGACAAGCCGATTACCGAGTGTGCGTTGACCTTTCTTGGTCATTTTGATTAAAAAAGAATTGCTTCTAAGCGTGATTTGTCAAAGCAATATGTATGACCAACTGAGGAGGATTTGCCAGTGGCTGCGAGATGACGTCATCGAATAACCGCCCCAACCCACGCATCCCGTGTCAGAAGAGTTTTAGCCCTCGCTCTCGCCCAGTAAATTCCCCTGGCTTAGAAAGGGGTTGGTACCGCTTAAAAAGATAAATACTTCAATCTCTCGTTATGTCTAATTTCGGCTTCAATTCCAGTCTTAAAACGAAGAGATGTTGGTTTCTTGAGGGAAGAACGAAACAGAGACGGGACGAAACAGAAAAAAAAAGAAAAAAAAAACGAAAAAAAAAGAAAAAAAGAAAAAAAACGAAAAAAAAAACTTTTTCAATGAGGCGGGAGATTGAGTAACTAGTTTTTGGTTTCTGAGTTTTGTCATCCATCGGCTTTACAATTGGTGTATTAATATTGTAAAACTTCAAAATGGCAATCCGTGTAACTGAACAATAAGTGAAAACGGAAGATAAGAGTGAATTAGAGTTAATTTAGACGTTAATTCCGTCTAAATTTTTTTCCAATCCTGATCCAACGAGGATGCTTCTGAGCTGCTGGGAGCGGAAACTCTAGCTGGAGAGGTATTAGAAAAATATTCAGTTCCCACTGGATGACAATTCCGATCCGTCGCTCCGCCGACCGCACTCTCCCCCTCCCCAGTTCGTCGTGCGGCTGGCTTCTATTGCCGATTTTTTGCGGCCCGTTCGCGTTTTTTTTTTCTTTTTTTTTTAACCAGGGGGGCCTGGTCCCAGGCCGGCTAAGCCAAACCTTGACAGTCAACACATTAACATCTGACGGCAAGCAGCTCGGAAGTACTCAGTATTGCTCTGATAATTTAGATTGAAACACACGATTAGAATATCTATTAACCTGCTTTAATACTTCCGTTAATTCTGTAACGTGTCGCGAGGCCAGTGTCCAACTACGCACTAGGCTCCCGACATTGAGTGACCAATGCTCAAAGACACCAAAATTGCGATTTGTGCTGAGCACACGCGCTTCGAGAACTTTACTGAGTACATGGAATGACAACTCAATTGCATAAAACGATTGAAAGGGGGGGTTTCAAGTGTAAGTTTCACTAAACTGTGCAATCTTTTTTAGCTGAGAAGTAAAACAAAGACAGTTGCAGACTTTGTTTTAAGGTTATAGCCAAAGTAGCGATGACATAAGTTCTATACTACAGGTTTCGGCGTGAAATCACAATCAAAGTCCTTTTTAAGAATAAGATGAAATACGATTTTTAAGCCGCGTGACTCCAGTTACTTCATAAAGAAATATTTGATCCTTTAAAAATTAAAAAAAATATATATTAAATTAAAAGTTCTTTATAGATTTGTATTTTACATCGCTGATGATGCAGTTTTGCTACAAGTTCTAGCAAATATGAAAACAAGTTTTAGTTTTTGGCTATACAAGGAATTGTTTCATTGATTCGCGTGATTTTTTATCCATTTCATTACATAACTTTTGATTCTGTTGAAACGCAAAGCCTACTTTATTTATATTCTTGGCTTTCCCCTGTGCGAAAAAGAAAGGTGGTAGTGATAGTACATTACTCAGCTCTGATGTGAAAATTCTGTCTGAGGAAAGACAGAAAACCTTTTAAGGTGTTAAAAAGCCGTTTCCGGTTCGCGTGACCCGTTTCCAGACATAGCGTAATGACTATTTATAGAATCTGCAAGGGGTTGCATGTTGGGACGCCCCTCGCTTTATAACTGATATTTTGGACTATCGGGGGCCAAAAATTACCATTTTACATTCTATTTGAGCCTAAGACGATTTTAAAACTGCAGCGCTGCATAGCATGTGGAGTTATGAAAATATACTTGCCCTTTTTGGCCGGCCGGAAGCGGCAACAACATGTTGAAATCCCAGGTGAATTATATTTGCCCGATATTTCGCCGGTATGCATCACCGAAACTTTCAAGGGGGGCCAAAAAAGACAAGTGAATAAAAATACAGGATGAACGTCACATACATATATGCGAAACACAGGAAACACATAGCCTGCGAATTTATTGCCTTAGCGCCTAGTCTAGTCTTGTCCCAGAGTTTTAATAAACCATGATAGGCTGTGTCGTCTTCTGGTGGATGTGGGTTCCCAGGCCTTAAGGGACACATTTGATGGTTTTCACCCTCCAGCTGGACTGCACTTTGTATTGGCACGTAACCCAGCACATAGAACGCTGCAGACCCCTAGGAAGAGAAGAATTCTCAATCCTACTCAATGGGGAAAGTTGTACCCTACTATCCCTACAACTATTTCGTCCAGTCAGCAAGCTTTGATATCACATTACTAATGGTTCTGCTGAGGAATATCTGTAGTTTTATCCCGCCTGTCACTGTCATGAGTACTGAAGTAAACATAGTGAGGGTGAAGTGCTACCGTAATACTGTATACAGCCATGCCGGCCCAGCTTCTGTAGATTACGCAGCATTTAACACCTGCTGGCAGGATATCAGCAATGCAATGGTAGCACTGGGAGGAGCAAGTTATGCAGCTGATATCAGTAAGCTTAAAAACAAGTGCATGGATCCTGACACTGAGGAACACTACAGAGAGCTGTTGAAGCAATGGAAGAAAGATGAAGACATTATCAAAGAAAAACTTGAAGAGATGGAAGGTATGTTAGAATTTTAGCCTAAAACTGACAGGAGGGTAAAGGTTGGAAAAGAAAAAAAACGCAAAGATCGCGCTATGTTACATAAGTAGTGGGAACTATTATTATAGTGTCCAGAAATCCAAAGAGGTGGGGCACGAGGCCACCTATTTGCCTTGTAATAAAACTTTACCTACCTGCATATTGATACCTGGCGTTACTGTTTTTGTACGCTGCGGCAGCATACCGTGCAAGTTTATTCGAGCCAAGGTTTGCATTTTGGTGAGACACAGTCAAGCCAAAATACCCACAAAGACACCAAAAGGTACCCAGCATGCCGCCACGGGAAGTGTATCAAAACTGAGTTGCGATTAAGTATTTACCTCAACCAAATTGGGCCAAGAATCCAGTCATATAGAGTCAGTGACTTGATATTGCAGAACTTGTCATGAAAATGGTTACAGACAAAGTTTCTAATTGGCTAAGTGTGAATTAGAGTAAGTTAAATACGTATCGTGCGCTTACGATTCTGATTGGCCTCAAACTAGGGAAAATATGTATTGGTAAACTACATTTGGATAAAAGCTAACAATTATCGGTCTGTTTGGTTTTCATAAGAGTTGCTTAAGCAGTTGAAAGAAGAAAAAGAAAGCATCAAGGAAAACTTGGAGAGGTGGAGGGTATGTGCCAAACTTACTTGAACCAACAGACTTTAATCCTGAACTTTTTAACAAGGAAGCCACTGATGTAAAATAATCATGATCAGAAAACCTTTATAAGAAATGTAATTTTGTTATTATCCTGTAAAAGAAGGCGACAAAGCAATCTATGTTAGATAACACCCCATTTGAAAACCTGGGAAAGGCCGTACTTCTATTTAACAATTAGACTGCTGACCTGAGTTTTCTCTGAGGGAATGGTCAAAAAGGTGCAGCCGAATTGACTGTTGCTCATAGAAAACCATGGAGAGTAGTATAATTGTTTTAGTAAATACTCCAAGTGACTGCAGTCTAAAACCAAAAATTGTAATTAAACATTTGTCTTAAAGCAAAAGAAAGCCATTTAAGAGCAATGTGGAGGAGATAGTGATTTGTAAAGGAGAACCAATCAAGTTTGTTGATTTGAAGCAGAACACGCCGACACTCTAAAATGTTTCCCATCTCTTAATTTTTGAACGGCTTAAGTAGAAACTCTCATAAGGTAGCAGTTAAAATGTCGAGCCCTTGTGGTTGCCTGCATGCTGTCAGACCACAGGGGTCATACCCTGTAGTGGGTTTAATCACGCGCATAGTCTCTACGGTGGTTTAAATTTATATTCATCAACTTTAGTTTGATAATAAGTCATTCCCTTAGCCACTGACGCTGCACAACAGTTTTTTAGAGAGTAATAACTTTGCTTTATTTCCGTATGAACCCTCGATCAACGAGTGTTTTTATATATTATCAACCCTTGTAGAAAATTAAATCTTGAAAGATGGCTTTGATCACCAGGAAACATCCAAAACAAGCTTGAGTGGGTGGAGGATCAAGTGAAAAATGTAAGCGAAAAGATTGACAACTTGAAGGAACCAAAAGATACAATCTAAGAAGCAGGTTAGTTCTTTTAAGTAAATTGCAGAATGAAGGGTTGTGGCATGGAACTTTTTACACAAGTTGCCTGCAACATAACAAAAATAATCATAATAATAACAACTGTAAAAATAAATACTCGAGGTGGCAACGAAAGTTCATGACTTATAGTACAGGACTTTTATGCTAAAAGAATTAGAAATTTAAATTGTTAACATCTCTTAGGTGCTGGTCTGTCTCGTGCATTATGATCGCTTCATACATGAATATTAAGTAAGCATTGTTGTTAAGAGTCTGTACAGTTCTGAAAAATTTAAAGGAAAGGAAAAAATATATATGGTTAAACATGAGTGTAAAGTTACCTCGTTCCCAGGGCTTTTCCCTTTTGCCATTAATTGTTTCCTCCAAATTTTAAGGCATGAGTCCTCGGAATCAGGAGTAACCTGTATAAGCGCGTTAAACTAAAACTAACATATCGAGTTTTGTTCTGCTGCAGAAAACCTCAATGGCTGATAGTATACGATAGGTCAGCCAATTATAGTGCAGGATTTGCATTAGAACGCTATTAGAATTGTACTAAAACTAGAGAGTAAAAGGGTATTTTTTTTATGCTTTATTTAATGTCAGGTAAAGGTATAAACTAAATGATGCGATGAAACATTCTGAGGAGTTTAGCGCCATTTTTGTCTTCTAAGGATGTGAGCAATGCAGAGTAGAGACATGAACTTTAATTAATATTACTTCCAAGTGTTACGGCAAATGCTACAAAAAGATATTTCTTTTCAGTAATGTTATCGAGTAAAGTTTGTTTTGTGAGGTATTCTTGGTGTGACACCTGAAGGCAGAATGTTCGAGGGCTTTCATTTATTAGGGCATGCAGGGTGGAGGGAGGAATACAAAGGTCCGTTGGTAAGTCACACTTCCAAATAGATCAAGCCCCTATTTATGGGGAAATATTACATTTTATTTTTTTCTAAGCTTGTGAGCGGGCGGAATTCTCCAAATCCTGCAATCTGATTGGTTCCAAGAGCGGGCGGTTTTTTACGATCTTGCGCGCTAACCCGGGTGGAATAGTTAGCAGCTTTATTCACAAGTTTGTTTGTTGTTTGTGAATGAGCAAAACCGGTGATTTTTAACCATTTTTCTTTTAAAATAGCGTTAGCTAGGGAAAAGTAAATTTTGTTATTCAGACAAAACATCTAAAGGGTGAATCAGGTAAGGCAGCCAGGAAAACCGGTAAAGTAAAGCAAAAAAGGCGGCTCGTGAAGTCGCTTCAGTCAGTAGCTTTATAACCTACCCTGTAAGTGCCGCAATCTTGCTCTTATGCACCGTTTATTCGACATTTTCCCTCTGTTTGTAGGTTTGTTTTCCATTTTTGCTGTCTGAATCTAGATTCTGCCGTTTATCATTGAATTTTGGCTCTCTCAGGGTTTTCTACTTTTCAGAAAAGGTTGTTGTCAACGATAGCATGTAGCTTTCAATCTTGAATCAACAACACGAACAACTTTTCCAGCAGTCAGCTATCACCGTTTTTATTTCTCTGTAGCCTGCGTAGCAGGCGCTTGGAAGTAGTGAGCACAAGAAAAAACGGGCACGCGAGAAGGAGACACGCCAGGGGAGAGGGAGCGCCTGCACAGAAGGCCCCCGAAAATCGTTTCCCGCCCCCTCTCCAAATACCTGGCAGCCGTTGCGTGATCTGTCAAAAGTTTTGACAGAAAACGACTGACCAAAAAGTGTTGTACATTTTATCTTCGGTCTAGATATATCTGTTATAAAGATCAGCTGGGTTATCTGATTATAGAGCGACGGAGCAATAAACTGATGGTTAACACACAGCTTTAAATCGTTTTTAACCACAACCACAATAAATAGGAAACAACAAAGTCAAAACTGGGTATCTTTTAAAGAATGCATGCTGTGTATTATAAAAAACTAAAAATATTGTTCTCCGAGCTTACTTAACCACAACTGGACGGACACCAACGATCACAGCGTACATGGAAAATGACCATTGCTTTTACTGCGCTAAGTGGCAGCCGTTTTTGGAGCAGGCATGTCTTACTAAGCGGACCTAAACTGTACCGACATATTTTCTACTGCAGTAACGAGACATAAAGAACAGACCTCAGGTCGCCTCCGAACGGCGAATAATACAATAGTGAAATGTTTTTTCAAATTCATGCCCCTGGTAAGTGTTTCATTTCATCAATCATGTCCAAGTTTGGATGGTATACGTTCCATCGACAACACAAGCCGCCAAGTTCTCCTGAGCAAAGAATATTTCCTCTGATCTTCATTGCAACGATTCGACAAATAGCAGCAGAGGGCTAACAAATGATCTTAATCGGAACGCTATTGAGGTGTTTTACTGATTTTCAATTTTCGTGATTTTGCGGTTCAGGGCAGTCTCCAAGATTCCATAGCGAAATAAGGAGTTTAAGATCCGAAAATTTTGCGACGCCGTGACCAAAGGTTCACCATTGCGCATGCGTGTGTGGTGTCGTGACAGCGTCGGCTGACGGCGAGGCGGGAAGATCTGCTTCTTTGAAGGCGTCGTGGAAAATGGAGGCTTTAGACAACGTCTGTTCAAAAAAGTAAGTTTTTGCGAAATTTTTCTTTCTTTTGTGTGCCAAACCCTATTTTTAATTAGATTTCCTTTCTCATTAGGGTATACTTTATCTTATGTTGTAAACACAAACGCACTTTCGATGTCGTTTTTAAGGCTTATCCCGCTCGCAAAATTATGTTAGAACAAGACGCTGTGTTAGCGTATATTTGGGCGTGGTCGTACTACGGGTATGATACTTTGAACATGCCTTATTGCAGCTAAAGAACTGTCATCATATCTTACCTGAGAAGACAAATCCTTTACTCCACTTGTTTGCTGAACCACACAGCTTATACAGTATGTCCCAATCCACAAAAATAGTGTCATTTCACGACAATGTTTGAAAATATGCACATCTTCAATGCAGACATGCTTGGAGCCAAATTGCAACTTAGGACATAACTGGTTACAGCCCGGAGAGTAAGATTTATCTCAGCTCCACTGATACTGACAGATGGGTTTTCACACCCATCACTTTGTACAGTGTATTTCGGTTACTAACAAGGGCAAATAAAGTTCCTTAAGTGCAGTATCCACAAGGATTAATAAGAGAGTAACACATTGCATAAACTGCTATAGGGTGTATCGTAGCACTGTTTACAGGACCATTGGTAGCTATTAACATTTGATATACTACAATTTTCAACATCGCTTGAGAAAAGATGAGGTTCAAAGGTGGCAATATGTACACCTTTAAGTTCATATATATCCTAATTCCTATGTAGAGTCTGAAAATATTGTACTAATTTGTGCATGGATGGTATTTCCAACAATACACATGTCCCTTCACTTGACTGTTATGATACATATCTCTAGCATGAGAATCAAATACATTATATCCCCCAGCCTCAGTGCTGTAGATACCAACACCAATAATTGCCACCGTTAAAATGAATGAGTTGTAGTTCAGTGCCAAGAGTGTTATAAATGCTGTAACCTGTGAGTGGCATATACAGTAGTGATGGATGTTACAAGTATAACTGTCACTGTATTCAAGGTGGAAAAATTGCTCAAACACTGTAACCATTCCTGGCAATTCTGTTAACATTAACATAGATTGTCTTGCAAGCAGTGACAGACTAGAATATAATTGAATACCAACAATCATTATTTGAGTCATATCATCAACTGAAGTAATCTTTGTTATCTTACTGTAAATTAAAGCGCACAGACTCATTGCGACACATCGTTGTCCACCATTTTCCCCAAATCCTGTAACATTTCCTTGACAGTATGGAGCATTAATTGGTTTTGTAGCGTCTACATAAACTGAAAGTCCTGGATTCTCCTCTATATCAGTACAAAGCTTAAATTGGCCAAAATTAACCCGGTGATTCAAACTGTTTTAAGCACTATAAAATGGATAATTACACGTACAGAGGGGCAAATTCTTACTTAGAAACCTGTTTGGATATCTCATTCCACCTAAATCGCCTGTTCTCTGATGCTTAGACGACAGATACGTAGATACACCTTCCCTCGTTTACGAACTAGTTTTCGAGTTGCCTCTTAAGTAAAAACTTCACACTGATACAGTTACTTCTGTACCTGTTTAAGTGTAAACCTTTTCTATTTTTACCGTAACAATGAATTTCAGACGACAATGGTGTATTTTTCCGAATACTCTTCCATACAAAAAGGGTCACTTTCCGTGTTTTCTGTAACAAAGATTTTAATTTGTTCATCTGTAGTCTGCTAGGGGCATAACGGTAACCGGTCATTTCGTTCCATGGTCAGATCGTTGACATCGTTCCAAGTCAGATCGTTCCAATCAATAGTCAGATCGTTCCATAAAATAGTCAGTTCGTTCCACAAAAAAGTCAGTTCGTTCCACATATGAAAAGTCAAGTAAATCTTTCTAAATTTGTTGAGTGAACTTTATCGAGAAGAAAAACGTTTCGTTCATACCACAAGCTGATTAAATAATAATCGATCCATCCTAAATCGTTTGCAAAACAAACAAGGGACGATTTCAACCAGCCACGGGCTTTAACATTTAAACCGCTCCTTTGAGGGTTTTTGAGCTAGAATCGATCGATAGTTTTGAAAGTTATAGCACAACAAGTAAAAGCTATACCGTTCTGAAGGTACAGTATTTCGAAGCGCCTGTAACCGAAATATTTCTTTGCAGCCCCCGATTTATGCAAATTTTGAAAACAAAGCGAGTTTCGAATTACAATCTCGATTTTATGGTAATTTGTCATACCGAAAATATAATTGACTAACCTGATTTAACCAATGAAATTGTAAGTTCTGTTATAAATAAATTTCCCACGACGAGATCTCAATTCAACTTCTTTTATTTCCTCCACAACACAATTTTTCTTCTGTACAACTAGCTCATTACCTTCTCTTC